ACCCCCCCCCTCTCGTTTCCCTTTCATTCTGCTTCCCCGGTGCCGAATGAAGCAGGGAGCAGCAGGATTAGAGTCTGCCACCGGCTATCAGAGGAGCCTAGATAAAAGGAACTGCTTCTTAAGCGCCACTGCAGCAGCCCTGGTTAATTTTTTTTTTCTTTCCTTTCCACACAACAGTTGTGCCTCATTACCCGGTGCCTGGCTCGGATTTTTTTTTTCTTTTTGGTGGAGGTTTTGAAGTTTCTTCAGTGACTGTTGCAGAAGAAGAGGTGTTAGTGCTGCGGTGAAGTCCTGCTTGTCTGCTTTTATGAATGAAACTGACCTAGGTCACCTGTTACCTCCAGTTTTCAGATTGTTTGAACTTCTCCGGCTGCACAACACAGGAGGGAAGCCTGAAGCAGCACCCGGACCTGCTGCGCCTGCAGCATGGGCTGGCTCACCGGGATCGCCTGTCTTTTCTGGGGAGTGTTACTAACAGCCAGAGCCAACTATCAGAATGGGAAGAGCAATGTGCCAAGGCTGAAATTATCCTACAAAGGTAAATCTTTATTTTTTTTTCCTTTTATTTGGCTAGCCCTGTGATGACCCCTCAGTCGCCCCCCTCCCTTTTTATTCCTTGAACTCCCTCCCAACCCAATCCATAAAACCTTTAGTTTAACCTGGGGAACCTATATGACTGGGTGAGTCTTTCTGAGATGATTTAAGCACTTTAAAAAAATAGATAAATAAAAGCATGCCTTCTGTTTGAGATGACAATTTAAATGCAAACAAAGAACATTTAATCACATTTGCAGAGGAGCTGAATGCCTGGGAAACGCTGAGCTGTCTGTGTGATCATGTGTTCTGTTAATTTTTCTGACCCTAATTCTTTTTAAATATCTTTAACACTACTATTGAAAAAATAGTCCCTTCTTAGATATGCATGCCTCACCTATAAGAATTGTTATGACAAATTGTGTTGTCTTAGTTTTAGACACTAAATGGTTAATCATCATCATGAATATTCAGTTTGTTCAAATCTGACAATCAGATGCTTAACATAAGCAGTAGATCGTGGTTTGCCAAGAGAATATAAACTGGAGAGAACAGACTAGTTTTTCCACAGTGTGTTATGATTGTACAAAAGACTGTGTATTTGGCTAATTGGGGTAAAGCCAGAGTCTTCAAAATATAATGTTATTTAATTCCATACATACTTTAGTAAGAAATGAAGACACACTACTCCCTACTTGTAGAACTAGTGTGAAGTTCTTTTGTAAAAAAAAAAAAAAAAGGTATAAATTTAAGAAAGAAAAAAAAGCTTTATTTCATGGTTGCTAATACTTTATTTGGTTCTAGTTTCATGTGCATGCGTGTTTGTTAATGATGGTTTTAAAAGAAAAATAGTTGTTCTATATTTGTTTAGATGAATTTGTATAAAATAATGCTAAGTTGGATTCCAAAATAATAAATATAACTTGCAATGGAAGGAAATACTTATATAACTGAGGTATTATCAAAGTGGAGTTTCAGATTAAACTGTTTGAACTCAAGTAGTTTTACTCCCTAAGGTGTTGCTTTCTTATGATTCTCAGATTTCTAGAATAGGGGGTGGGGCAGTGAGAAGCTTCAATTATATTCTGTGTTCAGCCTATAATGGGAAGCAAATTTACTGAATCTCTCTTGCAGGGATGTCTATATACTGTACATTGCTCTTATGCCAGCAACCGGAGTCTTTAATTTTCACATGAGGGGGATGATCTCTCTGAATGCCCGAGTGTGAATGAGGACCACAAATAGGAAAGGAGGGTGTATTTTTCACACTTTGGATTAGAAAATTAGACACCTATTAAATGTGTTTATTTGGACTTAATACTTACTTGGAAATACACTTACTTGGAAAATATATTTGTTTTTGGCATAACATTTTCTTTATTAAAACGTGAACGCATTTTAAACATGAGCAAGCAATTGCAATTGTACTCATCTGAGATATTAAAAACATATAGACTCCATTAAATATTTAATTAATCTCTATTGTGTCTCTGTTTAGTAGGTGTCTTTAAATTGTTAGGTATAGTATATGATATTATGGCATCTATGTTGGTATCAGTTTTTACTCTCTATTTTCACTCTTTGAGAGGATGTCACCAGTTAATTCTGAGGTTGATGGTCTACTTTATGTAAGTTTATATTCCTTATAAGTAAGTTTTGCATGCAACTACTTCTTGAAGAAGTGAATGGCTATAGATTATAATTTTAAAATAAGTTTGAAACGTGAAATGCATTTAAAATATCTTACAATCACAGTTACTTGCCTAAGTGCTAAATAAATTGTAAAATAAATAAGAATTGAGAGTTGTATTTATTTATTTTGCAAGAATCTTATTTACCTGGTAGCATACTGCTCTCCATTTTAAAAAGTTAGCATTTAATTAGAATAACCTTTGTTATGTACACATGCTTTAAACTTGTCTGATGAAGTTAGCTGTATGTATTAACAAGGTGTATGTATTTGACACTATCTTTTAAGTTCTTTTTAGCAATGGCATCCATTATAATTATTGTGCTTTCCTTTAACTACAAAACTACCCCACAGCTACATAAAAACTCCATTGATATACCTAGAATTTGGCAATTTGGTAAAATAAGCTGTGAAATGAACAACAGTAAGAAGAATAAAAGCAATGGCCCAAGCAATTTTTCTTGTCAGTTTATTGGTCTGTCATTACCTTTCTTTCTCTCCATGTACACTTGTTTTGCCAAAGTAAAAGTCTGGTAGCCAATTATAAATACTTTGTTTCTAAACTAAACTAGACTTTTTTTTTTTCTTAGCTGCTTCTTTTTCCTCCTTAATTAGATGTCAAACATAGTTAAAACATCCACTGCATTGCCCTTAAAAATATTCCAGCATGGTTTTTGAAGAGTTAAATCCCTGCCAACTCTAATTTCCCATGTCACTGTTTTCAAAGATCCACCATTAACTCTCTCATTGCTCAGGTTGCCAAGACTAAGTTTTAGGCAATCACTGTGCTTGCTTTCTGGTAGGAGATAAAAGAGATTTGATATGTTAAGTGAGAAAGAAAAAGAACAAGAAGCCAGCTTTTGCAGTGGATGTGCATAGATATCTAATAAGGTACCTCTTTACTTTCTAGGAAAAAGGAATTGAATAGAGGTTCGAGGGCCATCTGGAGAAGTGATAATATTAGAAAAATGGGATATGCTGGCTTTTCCTCTGAACCAATCTGATTTAGAATCCTTGTGGGGAAGCAAATGTGAGAACTCTGTAAATCTCAGCACTCACTTACAAATGATCTCCAAGAAACATTCACCCAGAGATACTTTTGCTTCCTTAAAGAGATGCAATAGAGCTAAATGTCAAAGGGCTTCTTTACCTAAATGGTGCGTAACAGTTTATTTCTCCTACACAACTAGTCAAATTTCACTTTTCTCATGAAATACAAGAATATCATGTAATCTTCCCTTTGGAATGTGTGGTGCAGTGAAGACTTCAGAAAAAGCTATGGAAATCACAAGGAAATAAATTAGGTTTGGGGTTTTAAACAAATGACAAATGTTCCATCACTCAGTGTAATGAGCTTTTCCAGGACATTGTGTGCTTCAGTTTTAGTAGAAATCAAAGACACATGCAAGTCTCAATGTGATGGTGATCATGTGGATCCAAAGGTTAAATCAGTGTCTTTAACATTACCTTTGCAGGGAAGACTTAGTAAATAGTACTTAAATAGATGGTAGACATTTTAATGGCTTTCTTTTCATACTTTGTAAAGCTACTTATACCAGAGTCAAGTAGTTTCTTTAAGAATAACATTATCAGTTAAATCAAAATTATCATACATATGTGTCTGATACTAGAAGATAATATTAAGTTAAAAATTATGAAGTAAAATTTGCAGGAGCATTTTTATTTGCCATTGCTCGTATATTATGATCACTTTAAAGTGTAATTAATATGAATGATTTATTTTATTATTTCTTGCAGTTGATGACTTTTCAGAGGTTCTTTTTACTTATACTGAAGCACAACACACATTCACTCATATATGAATATATAAATATGGACATATAATATATGTAAATAATAAAGCTTTATATTTATATTTAATAGTTGATAAAAACCAACCCTTGCAATCTACTGGTTATGGCTTATAATAAATTAATTTTTGATCTAAAATAGTATTCATATTTTAAATTTTATATATATGATCTTTTGAATCCCATGGAAAGTTTTCATGGATATCTCAAGTATTTACATAATAGCGTAAAATGAAGTTAGTAAAAATTTCCTCACAGGTAAAGTGAAATGTGTAGGAGGATACATATATGTATGTAATGTATCTGAGTATGCAAAACAGAGTTTATTCTTGTATTATTATCTATTAATTAATGTATTATTTTGCATATGAACAACTGGTAAACCTGTTTTCCCCTTGCCCTGTGTATCCTGGCAAAATAATATAAAAGTAAAACAAAACAAAATGCTCCATCACACATCTGGTGATGCAATGGTGGTCATATTAAATGAGGGATAGTGAAAGTCTCCAGTTTGTGGCTTCTCTGTGTAAAGCTGCCAAACAAATTGGCCTTTGAAATAATAATTTATACAGTGGACTTTAGCAAGTAGGAAAATAACAGAGACAACAAAACCATCCTGTTTAGGTCTCTAACCAACCAACTTTTGATAATGATATGCAGTCATCACTAACTTAAGTAATTTTTCCAATGCTAACTTTTGTATATTGCTATTTCTCTTTATATAAATTATTTCCAAGACCCCACTTCTGTTAGCAATATAAAATACCTGGGTGCTTATGAGCTAAATAGATGTGTAGGTCTGTAATAACTAATTTCTCTTTGTTTTCTTATTTTTAATATTACACAGAAAGCACACAACATAAGTAACAAATATTTTGTGATTTTTGGTCAATTATATTTAAATTCCATATTTAACAATTAGTATAACTGAAACCTTTCAGGAAAAAAATTAATTATAATTAATTAATATAATATGTTCCTGGTATTAAAGTTAAACTGTCAGTTGCAGAGCATAACCTATGTAAGCCTAGTGTGCATATACCACTGTATTTCAGATGTGTGCCCTAACTTATAAAGTTATCATGAACTATAAGTAAGCCAGAAGAAACTTTGTGGTAAAGTTCTTATTTAAATTTTTCTCATTCAAACTTCAGTGGCACATCTAAACATCACAGTTGCATCTCAGAACATCACACCTTTACATCTTTTGAAAAATTTTGAAATCTCGTCAGGACCATTTTAAACAGCATTTATGCTTGATTTTTTTCTAAAATCTCCCAGAGAGACCAGCACTAAAACAAATTTTTGATCTACCATCATCTAACATTCACTTACAAAATCGTGCTATATCATGGAGAGTTACATTTTCATTGATTAAAACATTGCACTTATCAAAACATTATGGACAAACCTATGATTCATTAATGCAGGTAAAGTTGTAGGTAAATTCTCCAAAACCCATGACATTATCTAGGTTTAGTGCATGTACTGAAAGCTTATTTT